GTACCGTCTCATGGCTGGAACATCCTCGCCCTATTAGACTACAAGACTCATACATCGTCATATGTATGGCTCCCAGTGAAGGGAACTATGATACATTGATCGAGAGGTAATCATTTAGTGTCTGACCTAATAGTTTTTCGACTAATACGCATTAGTTCATCTAATCAACGTACGTACACCATAACCTAATCATAACTCAACCTGATAGTGAATGGAAGATATTGCTGGAGAGTTTATTGAATTCTTCAACCACCTTCTGCATCTGTTCATTCTACAGATTGATACTGGTTAAATTATCAATTGAAATGTTATCTCTTCCCACAACCCTTATGGCTGCTATCTTCATTTCCTCTTGTATGGCAAAGTTTAATTGTTGCAGCCAGATGACTGCTCCTTCATAAATCTGCATCTTAAGTCTAAACCAGTCCTCGGCGTCTTTAATAGCTTCTTACAATCTTTTTCCCCTTTCTCTAATGTCTATGGCTGCAAGTCTGCCCTGGATTTTCTCCATAGTATCCCTATTTCCTTCGACTTTTGTTTTTGCATCTCCGTATCCCATCTTGACGATAACATCTTTTGGTGGAGGTGGTACAAGAGGCCTTGAATTTTCGGCCTTTCTGGTTCCTCCTTATCTCGACCTTGGCCTCTTCTCATGCCTGAAGTACCGCTTGAACTTCCGGTTTCTCGTGACATACTAAGACTGCTTTAGTTAATCTTAAGAGTATATTTTCTAGGTGTTATTTGTTCCTTTGATATGTTCAAAATTAATAACCACCCCAGTGCCTGTTATATAGTCATAGAAATTTAGCCATCTTACCCTTAAAGGTTTGTTATGGCTTTGCTTATCATAAAAGGAGATTATCGCCTGACAGTCAGTTTGTAATGTTATCTCCTTTTTGTCCAAGTAATGTATCTTCAGTTTTTCAAGCATAGCCATACAAGCAAAGATCTCTGCATCAATAGTATATTTAATTATTGAAAATTTTCCACTAGCGTATGCACAAATCTTTTCTGCTGTCTGTGGGTTCTTCTTAACTGGCTTCACTTACAGATTCCTCCCCATCCTTCCAAGCATCCGTCAGTTTCAAGAATAATAATAATATCTTTATCATAGAAATCATTTCGTTCGTACGAAAAAAATCATTGATAGTACATGAAATAATTTTTTATAAACTTAAAATTGAAATGATTTATTAGAACTCCGATTAACGAATTAAATGATTCATAAGAAAAGGATTCGAAATGATGTGAACCTTTGTGTCAACTACTCGAAAAAAAACTGGTCCAACTGATAAGTGTACAGTATTAGTTAGGCAGGTTTGGGTAGAGTTAAGAGACGTTGACCGCTGAAATTCATGCTAAGGGAGGAGTGGGCGGTGGGTTCGACCAAACTACTGATTCACTGTTGGCAAAGTAGGGTTGGTCATCATTCTTCTATGTTGTAGGGTTGGTCATCATTTTTCTATGCTGTAGGGTTGGTAATCTTTGTTCAACGTTTGAAGGTAATTAAGTTTGAGATGTTAAGCCAACTGATTTCGATTCCAGTGTCACATTTAAAGCACTCCTGTATTACAATTCTGAGATAGTTATTTTTATTTTTTATTTTTTTAAATATTTTATTTCTTAATGTTTCATTTTGAGATAAAAAAATTCTTCCGTAAATAAAAATTATTAGCTAACAAACGATTAACACTTCAAAATAAAATCATTAACCTTAAAATGAAACATTAGAGATTAATGCTCTAAAAAGAAACAAGTAGAGTCAAAATGACTATTCACAAATATTAAGGATTTATTTGTCATAAAATAAAGTGTTGATGATCAAAATGTTTAAAAATAGAAACTAAAATGAATATTTTGATAAGCGTTGAGAGATTAATTTTGATATTATGTTTTTTTAATAATATCGTTATCAATGTTTAAATGTTTGTTTTCTTTCTAGGAGTGTAATGTGAAAAACAAGATTCATAATAATTACTATTAAGTGATATTAGTAGTAAAATAAGTATTATTTTTTTAAGTTAGAACAGTTACGTCTGAAAAGTATATTTTGTCAATAGTTAAAAAAGATTATAAACATTTAGTGCTTTGCAATCACTCCAAATTATTCAAAATTTAAAGTTACGAAGAAAAGTAATGTTAATTTATTGAATATTCTAAAATGAACAACACTATTTTTTAATACCCAGTCCCTTAAATCCTTAATGTGTTTTTAATATTTAAATTTGAATTAAGTCAAATTACCATTTTGTACCTCGATCTTATTAAATTTGTTTTTTATTGACTTTTAAAAAATAAAAAAATTTAAACTTTGATAATGATTATTTTAAATATTTTTAAAAAATATTTTTTATGAAATATATGTTTTAAAATTATTTGATTAAAGGTTTTTAAAATATTTTTTTTCATACATTTATCAATAATTTAACTTCTTTTTTGGTTTTGGTGGCTCTGCCCATCCAGATTAGGGGTGCTTATCGAGCGAGTTGATAGCGAGTTGGGTAGTGCTCGACTCGTGCTCGTTAAAAAAATTGTTGCTCGACTCGACTCATTGCTCGTTAAGCTCGTTAAAATTATGTTAGGCTCGTGCTCGTTAACAAAAATTTGCTGCTCAACTCGACTCATTGCTCGCTAAGATCACTAAAAAATTTACGTTGTTTTTTAAACTAAAAATAAAATTTACTAATATATATGAGGATATTAGGGTTGGGTTTTTTCTATTAAAAGAATATTATTAATTAATAATATTTTATTATTTCTTAAAAAATAATAGATTAATTAACTTATTATTTTTATTATTTATTAATAAATTAATTATTATTATTTAAATTTATTTTTTGAATGAAATAATTTTGAAATAATTATTAAAAATGTATTTTAAAAAATTAATGAGCTGTTAGGAACTTATCGAGTCAAGTTATACTTATTCAGCTCAGCTCGTTAAGGTCTCGAGTTAAATTCAAGTCGAACGATTACCAAAATTTAACCTAATCAAGTTTGAGCTCATCACGAACTGTTTGACTCGTTAAGCACCCTAATCCAGACCCATTGGTCATTGCCTTTGCCTTTATATATCAAATCAGTCATCGTCAACACTTGATCTACAGAAAGAACCACAAGGGAAAGACAAAGACTGAGAGCAAGAGAGAACATGGAAGGAATACAGCACAGCATTGTGAATGTCAACGGCATAACGATGCACGTCGCCGAAAAGGGACAAGGGCCGGTCATCCTCTTCCTTCATGGTTTCCCCGAAATCTGGTACACATGGAGGCATCAGATTCTTGCTTTGAGCTCACTCGGGTACCGCACCTTTGCGCCTGATCTCCGCGGCTACGGCGACACCGAGGCTCCCTCGTCGATAACCAGTTACTCGTGCATGTACATCGTTGGTGACCTTATCGCACTCGTCGACACTCTAGGCGTCGACCAAGTGTTCTTGGTGGCTCATGATTGGGTGCCATTATCGGATGGTACCTTTGCTTGTTCCGCCCGACCGAGTCAAGGCCTTCGTGTGCTTCAGCGTCCCGTTCATGCCTAGAAAACCAATGAAGCCTGTTGAGAGCATGAGGCTTTTCTTCGGAGATGATTACTATATATGCAGATTTCAGATTTCTTATTTCTTATGATATTATCAGTTAATCCGAATAGTTAACACGAACACGAACATGATTTCATCGGAACTTGTTGTAGGAACCTGGAAAGATTGAAGCAGAGATAGCTCACTATGGAACTTCAAACGTGCTAAAGAGGATCATTTCCAATCGAAAGCCAGGCCCACCATGCATGCCTAAAGACAATGCTTTTAATATCAAACCAGATACACCAATTCCCTTATCATTTGGTTCTCTGAAGATGATCTTAGCTACTACACCAACGAATTCAACCAGAAAGGCTTCACTGGGGCTCTCAACTACTACAGGACCTTTGATCTGTAAGCATTTTACCAGGAAAAATGTTTTGAACCAATTCTGATCTTATGGATTTTAGCTAATTTCTCTGTGTTAAATTGCAGAAACTGGGAATTGACAGCGCCATGGAGTGGTGCACAAGTGAAATTACCAGTGAAGTACAATGTGGGGGATCTTGACACTGTTTATACAACCCCAGGGGTGAAGGAATATGTTGAGAGTGGTGGTTTCAAAGGGGATGTGCCCATGTTAGATGAAGTTGTGGTCATGGAAGGTGTTGGCCATTTCATCAACCAAGAAAGGGCTGATGAGATTAACTCTCACATTCTTGATTTCATCCAAAAGTTCTGATCTGCTTTGTTTTATGTATCCGCTGAATGCAGCTTTGTCATCTCTTGAACTTTTTTAGTATTTGGTCAAATTATGTCATTAATCCATCAACTATGAGTATATGTAATGTATTAAATAAGAGGATTAAAAATGGTGTTTGGATGCATTTGCAGGTTTTGAAGTAGAGATGTAAATGAGAAAAGATAGTAAGTTACACAAGTTCAATTTGATAAAAATTCGATCAATACTTGATTCACGTTCGAATTCAACTTGAGTTATCAACAATCCAAAATGAGTTATTTAATGTCCAACTCAAAAATCCACGAGCTTCAAATTCAAGATCAAGTTCGAACTTCAATCAAACTACGTCTAAACATGTTTCAAGTTTAAAATTTTCAAACTCAAATCGAGCTTCCACTTTTAATTTCAAGTTCGAATCAAACTTAAGCTCACAAGTTTTCGAATCAACTCAAACTAAACTTTAAACTATTCAGTCGAGCTCAACATTAGTCGAACTTAACTCGTTCACATCCCTAGCTTAGGATAACAGGAATGCCGTGTAATTCGACAGGGCCACTCACAACGAGTTACCTATGTAGTCAGTACAATCCATTTACATGAAGTGATGCAAATTTTTATGTATTCTTAATATAACTGGAATGATTAGATACAATATCAAAATTTCAAAACCTGAAAATATGTACTAGAAATTAACAAATTTAAGGGACTAAACCAACAACTTTCACATAGTGCAGGGACTAATAGAAGAATTCCATGTTAAGATATAAAATTAAAATGCTTAAACATGCTCCACTTTGTAGCATAAGAAAGATTTACCCTCAAACAAGCTAATCCGTGAATTATAAGATGCAAACATAAGCAATCAAAACAACAGCCATAAATCCCTAAATGGCAACCTCAAAATCAAGTAGTAAAAACTCAGTCTAAACCCTGAATCCCTTGCTGTTCCTTCTTCCTCTAGCCCTTTCAAACTTCCTTCCCTTCGCGCGGACATATGGCTTGGTGTGGCTGTGAGGAACACCAGGCGCAGGACCAAAGTGTTTAACTGCTTCACGGGAGTTCTTTGGACCTCTGAGGAGAACCTGTGATTCCACACAATGTAAATTCATAAGAAATCCAGACACCATTGTCTTCTATCAAAAGAAAAGAATTAGAAGAGGCAATGGACTTCAATTTCTATCGAAGGTTAAATAAGAAGGCTTAGAAATGACACAGCAGGAACATGTAAAGTGCGTCACCTTTTATGTTTGTAGAAAGAGAAACAAAAATAAGTTCAAATAATTAGGATTTCCATTCAAATGAAGAAGGAATATGAACATTAAAGTAGTATCAAACATATGAATTACAGAATCATTGAAAAATTCACATTGTAAACAGAGAAGATTCAGCAGATTACATTCCAAAGAACACATCACAAGCATTTTTCAGATAGTGCATGAAAGAAACATCCCCATTTCATTTTCAAAGAGTTTTGACAAGCGATTAAGAAAGCAGAAATGAAATTTCAATGAAAAACACAACTTAAAACGCCAATAAAATCAATAAAGATCAACAAAGATCAATGTGAAACAAAAGCAAACCAAGTCGAACACGAGATTCCATACCGTGTTTTGACCCAAGGGAGCCCTCAAAGCAAGCTGATCAAAAGTCAAGCATTCTCCACCAGCCTTCTCAATCCTAGCTCTAGCAGTCTCAGTAAACCTAAGAGCAGTAACCTTCAAAGCAGGAACCTCATAAACCCTAATATCATCTGTCACTGTCCCCACTACCACAGCAATCTTATCCTCCTACAACTCATTTACAGATACAACAAGGATGAATCAAAACCATACATCAACAGCCATGCAAAGATCGTTAAAAACCCAGAAATATTAAATGATATACCTTTCCCTTCATGAACTGAACTAGCCTAGAGAGAGATAGTGGAGGCTTGTTGACTTTGCTCATAAACAAGCGTTTCAATATCACGGCATTGAATTTGCTCCCGGTTCTTCTTACAAGGAAACGGTAAAGCTAAAACCCAGAGCAAAATTCAGCACATTTGTTCAAAAACTAGAATAAAAAAATGGCATTTTTATGCAGAGAACGAGGATAAATGTGAAACCTTGACGAGGAGTTTGAGATAAATATCATCGGATTTGGGAGCTGTCCTCTTGGTCTTCTTGCTCTTTCCTCCAGCGATTAGATCGATCCCCTGTTAATGCAAAGAAAAAAACCAGCAAACATAAGCAAAAAGACAATGAAAAAATATATCTTTTGTTGTTCTTTTAAGAGAAAAAAAAAGTTTGGGAAATTTGGGAAGAGAGTATAGAGACCATTGCTGAAGCTCTTGCTTTGGTGATGTGAAGTGGGGGAGACGCCGCGAATGACAAAGTTTTACAGGGAGTTAGGGTTTCGATTTTGAAGGGCTTTTATTTTGTGGGTTTGGGTTTGTTTAAATGTGGTTGAGTTTATTGATTTAGATCGTAGTTCTTTCATCTAAGCCCTACGCGTGTATCAAGGTAAGAAAATATTATGGTATTAGTCCCTTTACTATACTGAAATTTGAGATTTAATCTTTCCACTTTAATTTAACATAATTTGATACATATGCTTTTATAGTGTTATTAGCAAGTTCAAATTAATAAAATTGTTAATGATTGTTGCTAGGTGGTGTCATGGATTTTTTTTACTATTATTTGATCATAACTAATATCATATTCAATTGTCATAGTTCGTCAGTTAACAATGCAAACAAGAAGGTTGGCCAGGCCCTTCTAGGTATAGATGGTGCAAAATGTGTGCGAGGAGGCTAATAGCACGTCAAATTTTATTATAAAAAATGTATTCAAACTCGATAATAAAAAATATGAAAATTCATTAAAATATTTGATTTCACTTACTTTAACAATTATTTGAGATTTTTTTTAATAAAAAAGACAAATTTGATAATAATCCATGGTTGTAATAATGGAGGACTAAAATGAACTAGATGAAATTATAAGGACTTTAAAGAAGTTCCTAAAATAGAAAGAAGTTTAAGGACCAAATTATAAAGAATGCAAAAAGCGAATGGAATGCATGACTCATTGCTCATTAAACTCGTTAGAATTTTTTTTAATATATGTAAATCTAATAATATTATATAGAACTTAACATAAATTAAGAAAATCAAAGGGAGAAGTTATCAAAAATAGTGTGTGAAACAATTCTAAATTCTAAACTCCAAATACACCAAACTAATATATTATAACAAAATTAACAATACACAAACAAATACACCAAACTAACATATTACAACTATGAAAAAAATGTTTAACAATACATAATCAGTTCTAAGACAATCGACATCCTAAAAACTATAAAAAAAATTAACGAGTTACTTGTGAACTTACCGAATCGAGTTAGATCTTGCTCAACTCGACTCGTTAAGGTCTCAAGTCAAGTCAATTCGAGTCTAGCATTAACCGAATTGTGATCAAGTCAATATCAAATTACTCACCAGCAGCTCAACTCAATTAGTACCCGAGAGCACCTGATCAATTTTTTCAAGATTGATCTCAGGTCTAGTTATTGGTAAATCTGAATCAATGAAAAAGATGAGCTGCCATTTTGTTCAATCCAAAATTCAGCCACAATATTTGCTGGGAAACTTGCCAAGTTACATAAAATGATACGGAAAACAAAGGTTTCTCTACAGTATGAGTATATATCAAACATAAGGAAAATACCGACAGATTCATCATGCAATTCTTTCAGCTGCTTACAAACAGCATCTCAAAACTTATATAGACAAACTGAAATGCAAACAAGAACCACAACAGTAAACAACCCTTCTTCAAGTTTCTCTTTAACTATTTCATGGCTGGCATTGCAGTTGCTCATTCTAGCCGTTCCATCTGCAGGACAACATAATGCAAAGACGGATTTAATAACAATATCAAATAGTTATAGTTCGACATATGAATGCTTGTTTTCATAGACGGATCGTAATAAATATGTTGGTTTTCAATTGAAAAACAAACTAGAATGCTTTATGCAACAATCCGAAACACCTAATGGTTTTAAGTATGAATACCTTCCATAGACCATCGTTGAGGTAATGCATGTTGTCTACCCCAATTCCCTTGTTGATTGCCTTTCTGCTAATGGAAATGAATCCAGTTATTGTAGTTTAACAGCATTTAGCTAGCATGAAAATCATTGTCAATTTGAAAATAGAAAATATGCAGGACGATTGGAACTAGACCGCAAAAAGAGAAGGATATTATATAACTCAGGCAAATGCAACAATGACACAACCAGCACAGTAATATCACGTTCCCAGCTACATTTCTCTCCATTTAAGATAGGAGGAAGAAAAATACTATGATTTTCAAGTTCAAGTTCCGTAATCCGTTTACGCAGAGAAACAACTAGAACATAACTCACATGTCTTTAGCTGACATTTTAGTAAAGCCAATAGCAAGAGCATGTTGTTTTCCTTCAGCCATTATTGCCTGAAAGGATTAGTTGACATGTCATATATTGGCAAGATAAAAAAGAAACATATAAACTGTGACAGAGAAGATGAACCGTACAACAGGAGTTTCTGCTTCCACTTCATCATCCAAATCACCACCAGGGGATGTAAGACCAGGACACATTATGTTTGCACCAGCAAGGACGAATTTTATCGCACCACGATCCACTTGAAACTTTTTCATTATGTTTGGATCTGCAAAACCACGATCCACTTGAAACTTTTTCATTATGTTTGGATCTGCAAAACCAAGATACAGAACAGCCATATTTGGATCCCATAACAATAAGATACATGAGAGTAAAGCACAAAGTCGTCATAGAAGAAAATGGAACTTATCGTGGTTAAGAACACCATGTATCATTATTTTTTTTATAGGAATGCTAGGCCTCGTTAAAAAACCCCTTCTTGATTAATGGATCTTGTAGAGAAGCTCTTTAAGCAGCGGAAGGGGGAAAAGAGTGCCTAAGTAATATATTCATCATAAAAAAATTACAAAGAAACAACAATAAGAATCCGAAACCAAAAAACAACCCTAAACAACCATAAACAACAACAATAACTCAACCTATGCCTTCTTTTGCTAAGGCATCAGCCTCTAAATTGGTTGTCCTATTAACCCATCTAACTACACCTTCAAAGGCATTAAGCCTATGAACAATATCTTTAATCAAGAAGATATACACAACAGGACATAATTCAACCTCCTTGATCCAATCCACTGCCACCTTACTATCACTCTCAATAATCAAACGGTCCTTGATCCTCTCTCGAAAATTTGCATAGAAAGACAAACCCTTAAGAATAGCCTTTAATTCCATCAAAGTAGGAGGCCCCAGACCAACTGGTTCCTTGAAATAGCCTATAGTAGAACCTGAGGAATCTTTTAAAACTCCACCTAACCCGCTTTTCTTCCAATCCCTTGTGTCGAGAATATCTAAATTAAATATTAGATAGGATCAGTTTTAATTAGATAGAATCAGTTTTTATTCTATTAGTTATTAGATAGGATCATTTTTAATTAGATAGAATCAGTTTTTTATTTTATTAGTTATTAGATAGGATCATTTTTAATTAGATAGAATCATTTTTATTCTGTTGCTAATTTTATGCATCTTTTTATGTAAAGTTGTTGTTACATTGTAAACTCTATTTAAGTCAGTCATATTCAGCAGAAATAAACACGATTTATTCGGAACAAGTTTTTTCCGTCTTTATGGTGTCAGAGCCAAAATGGCCAAACCCTACGATGATACCTCTGGTATCGACTCTATGAGTTCTACTCGCTCACCTTCAATCACCCTAAACACTGAATCCTTCCAAAACATATCCATCACTTCTCACAAGTTGAATGAAAATAATTTCTTACAGTGGTCACAATCTGTGAAACTGTTTATTCGTGGCCGTGAAAAATTCGGCTATCTCTCAGGTACCACTACGAAACCTGCCGAAGAAGATGAAGAATCTGAAAGATGGGAGGCAGAAAACTCGATGATTATGTCTTGGCTCATAAATTCCATGGATCCGAGTGTAGGGAGAACTTATCTCTTCCTACCTACTGCTCATGACATTTGGAATGCTGTGAACGAGACCTATTCTGATCTCGGGAACGCAGGACAATGGTTTGAACTAAAAACTCGGTTATGGAGGCTAAAACAAGGAGAAAAAACTGTCACTCAATACTACACTGAACTCAAGACCTTGTGGCAAGAGGTTGACATGTTCAGCGACTACGAATGGAGTTGTGCTAAGGACAGGGCTCTATTCTAGAAGATGGTGGAAAAAGAATGCGTCTTCGAATTCCTTGTCGGCCTTAACAAGGAATTGGATGAAGTCAGAGGGCGCATTCTTGGTCGTGAACCACTACCAAGCACAAGAGAAGTCTTCTCCGAAGTCAGACGAGAGGAGAGCCGGCGGACAGTCATGCTTGGAGGCCACTCACCAAATCCCACCGAGTCTTCTGCCTTGTTCTCGGGTCAGCCACCACGTCGCAACGATCGTCGGAACGACAGAGATCGGCCAATCTGCGAGCACTGCAACAAGCCGGGACACACTAAAGCCAAGTGTTGGAAGCTACACGGGAAGCCAACCGAGAATTTTTCAGCCAATCGAAATTCTCGTAATGCAAAGGGATTCCATGCCTCATCTGAAGATGCTTCTGAAGAGCCGAAACCTGCCTCAGAACTGTCTGCCTTCAGCAAAGAACAGCTAGAGCAATTGTATCAACTAATGAGTTCTCATTCCATATCCAACACTCCTAACTCATCATCTTATATTGCCTCTTCATCATTAGCCCAGAAAGGTACATATCCTACAGCTTTCATAGCCGGTTCTAAATCAAACCCTTGGATCATAGATTCAGGGGCAACAGATCACATGACCGGTAATTCCTCCATATTCTCATCTTATTTTCCTTTATCTGGTAATCTGAAGGTAAAAATTGATGATGGCTCCCTAACCTCTATAGCTGGAAAAGGCTCTATCATTATTTCTCCATCTCTCACATTACTAAATGTCCTACATGTCCCAAAGCTCTCTTGTAATCTCATCTCTGTTAATCGTATTATTCATGATTGCAAATGCATTGCTACAATAACATTTGCTGGATTTGAATTTCAGGACCCTTGTTCGGGCAAGATGATTGGCAATGCTAAGGAGGTTGATGGACTCTATCACTTGGTCACAGACAATCCTTCAGATAAACAAGTTCAGAAACCGAGATGCTTTACTACCTTGTCTTGTGAGAATGAAATAATGTTGTGGCATTATAGGTTAGGCCATCCTAGTTTTAATTACTTGAAATATTTGTTTCCAAATCTTTTAAAAAAAAATGACGGTTTTTCTTTTCAGTGTGAAGCTTGTGAATTGGCAAAATATCATAGATCTGTTTATCCATCTTTAAAGTATATGCCATCAAAAACTTTTTCTCTTGTGCATAGTGATATTTGGGGCCCTTCACGAGTAAAAACAGCCTCAGGATCTAGATGGTTCATCACATTCATTGATGATCATAGTAGAGTCACGTGGATTTTTTACTAAAAGAAAAATCCGAGGCAGCAAGTGTTTTCAAAAATTTTCACTCACTGATCAATACTCAGTTTCAAGCAAATATTCAAGTTCTTAGAACCGATAATGGTCGAGAATATTTTAATGCAATCTTAGGTGATTTTTTTAAACAATAAGGAATTATTCATAACAATTCTTGCGTTGATACTCCCCAACAAAATGGAGTTGCTGAAAGAAAAAATAGGCATTTATTAGAGGTGACTAGGGCTTTACTGTTTGCTATGAATGTTCCAAATCGTTTTTGGAATGAAGCACTCTTAACAGCGTCTTATTTGATAAATCGAATGCCTACAAGATTTCTTAATTATATTACTCCTTTGCAAGCTCTAAAGAATATGTTTCCTGAAAATAGATCTTTCACTGATTTAACACCTAAAATTTTTGTTTGCATTGCTTTTGTTCATATACACGGCCAAAATAGAGGAAAACTCGATCCCCGAGCACATAAATGCATATTTCTAGGTTTTTCACCAACACAAAAAGGGTATAAATGCTTTGATCCTAAATCTGGGAAGTATTATGTGAGTATGGATGTCACGTTTTTTGAAAAACAATCTTTTTTTGACAAAAACTCTCTTCCGGGGGAGAATGACTCTAAAATGAGTTTTTGGGAACAAACATCCTTGCCAAAATCGGTTGTAAATAGCTCAGTGGAACCAATTCATATTTCCGTAACTAATCCTAGGATTTCACAACCTATAAATTCACAACCTCGTGAGACTCAGGTAGAAACCAACTTGGAACCACCTACTGAACTTCGTGTTTATTCTAGACGGATGACTCGACCAAGTAATGTTCCACCGGCCCCCAAGGTATGCCAACCATAGGACTCGACTATGGTCCAAGGTACGACTTCTCTTTCTCCTATTTCTTCTCCAAATTTAGAGCCTTCTACAGAATTCTTTGAACCCATAGCCTTGCGCAAAGGTGTTAGCTCATGTACCACAAAACATCCAATATCCAATTTCTTATCTTATAATAAACTCTCTCCAGATTTCAAAGCTTTTTCACCAGGATTATGGATGATGTACTACCTAAGTCGATACATGAAGCTCTAGAAGTTCTGAGATGGAGAGAGGCAGTTTTTGAGGAGTTAAAGGCCCTGAAGAAGAATGACACGTGGGATCTAACTCCTTTACCTGAGGGGAAACGATCAGTAGGCAGCAAGTAGGTGTTCACCATCAAATACCATGCAGATGGCTCGGTCGAGAGATACAAGGCAAGACTCGTAGCACGAGGCTTTACTCAGACATACGACCTTGACTACGAGGAGACCTTCGCACCTGTGGCCAAACTAAACACCGTACGTGTCCTACTCTCACTAGCCGCCAATCTGGATTGGACTCTCAGACAGTTTGATGTGAAGAATGCGTTCCTAAACGGTGAGCTAGAGGAAGAGGTGTTTATGGAAGTTCCTCCAGGCTTTGATGAATTGAAGAAGGATGGCAGGGTCTGCAAGCTAAAGAAATCCATTTATGGATTGAAACAATCTCCGAGAGCCTGGTTCGAGAGATTCACGAGAGCTGTGAAACAACATGGTTACACTCAGGCCCAGTCTGATCATACTATGTTCTACAAACACAATAATGGTAAAATTGCTATTTTAATTGTGTATGTAGATGACATTGTTATGACAGGAGATGACACAGTAGAGTTGGAGTCGTTGAAGAACTTCTTATCCAACTAGTTTGAAGTCAAGGATCTAGGACAACTCAAATATTTCCTTGGAATGGAGGTGGCTAGATCCTCAAAAGGTATAATTATCTCGCAAAGGAAATATGTCCTCGATATCTTGAAAGAGACCGGATTACTCGGATGTAAACCAGTGGCGACTCCTATTGATCCGAATCAAAAACTCGAAAAAGAAGATGGTGCTGAGCCTGTGGACAAGAATCGGTATCAGAAGCTGGTGGGGAAACTGATTTATTTGGCTCATACGAGACCAGATATTGCATTTGCTGGGAGCTTGGTTAGTCAGTTTATGCATTGTCTCTCAGAAAAACACTCCAAGGCTGTTTACCGGATTCTTCATTACTTGAAAGGGAGTCCTGGTAAAGGAATCATGTTTTCAAAGAATAAAAGTCGAAGAGTGGAGACCTTCAATGATGCTGATTGGGGCGGAAGTTCTACAGACAGAAGATCTACTACCGGTTATTGCTCCTTTGTCTGGGGCAACTTAGTTACTTGGAGGAGCAAGAAGCAACCAGTTGTCTCTAGAAGCAGTGCGGAGGCCGAGTTCAGAGCCATGGCGCAAGGAGTATGTGAGTTGTTATGGCTTAGGAGGATCTTGGAGGAGCTGAAGGTTGAAGGAGATAAACCGATGAAGTTGTATTGCGACAACAAATCGGCAATCAGTATTGCTCAGAATCCTGTACAGCATGACAGGACCAAACATGTCGAAATAGATCGACATTTCATCAAGGAGAGGCTGGAAAATGGCGATATCTGCATACCGTTTGTTCCATCATCAGAGCAGCTTGCCGATGTTCTCACCAAGGGACTGTTTACTACGATGTTCGAAGGATTTCTGTCCAAGCTGGGAATGATCGATATCTATTCTCCAGCTTGAGGGGGGTGTCGAGAATATCTAAATTAAATATTAGATAGGATCAGTTTTAATTAGATAGAATCAGTTTTTATTCTATTAGTTATTAGATAGGATCATTTTTAATTAGATAGAATCAGTTTTTTATTCTATTAGTTATTAGATAGGATCATTTTTAATTAGATAGAATCATTTTTATTCTGTTGCTAATTTTATGCATCTTTTTATGTAAAGTTGTTGTTACATTGTAAACTTTTGTAGTGGCAACATCAACATTTAATTTAACAAAACCCATAGGAGGAGGAGACCAAGGTAAAAGAGTTGCAATCTGATTAGATTGGAGAGAAACAGAATCCCCTAAAGAAGGGTCGGAAATCTTGTCTAAACATCACTCAAATACACGAGGATCGAAACAGAAGAAAATCCAAATATGAGATACTTACATTGGTGATGGAGTCTGAGAGTAGGCATGTACGGTCCATCACGAATATTGAAGAATAGTGGAACACTGTTAACTAAAACCAGATTTAAATGGTTTTGACTGCAAACGAAAGAAACTGTTAGCATCATGTTACAGGTACAAAGGCCAAAGCAATAGTTAAAGGAAAAACAAACCATTTCACAACAATTAATGGGGCCTTCTTTGGAAGCAAATCATCCAGCACAGGATCAAGTCCTGGGTACTGCAGAAATGCATCAATACATTAAATAAAAAAAGCCGATTAATTTCAGAATTTAACTGTTATCATAATTTGATTCAGGAAAATAATCAGATAAACTAAATTTACACCTCCTCAGCAATGCTTTGCCGAATTTTTCGCTGCACAGATGCTTTCACTTGGTTTTGTGAAGACACATCTTCATATGAAAATCTACAAAAAAATAAATAAATAAATAAATAAATAAGTGGAAAAAGTTCCAGAATATGGGAAAAAATCAGCACTCTAACCATAACTCCAACATCAAAATGAAAGATTGGAAGTACCCTAAGCACAGGACATCTTAGCCATCCTATTAGTAATTGAATGGTTTTATATACTTCTTGCAAATGATTGAAAACTTGATTAATTTGTGCATTAACAAACAAAAAGCTTGCATGAAAAACATGAACTCAATCACTCACCTATGGACAACCATTATTGCCCAATGCTCTAAGTATCCTATAAAGCATTAAAATTCTTGCAAATCAGCTAACTATTCCAAAACCCAGAATAGATATTCTAAAACCAAATCACAGGAAAGAGCAAACAACAGTTTCCTTTATCCAAAACAGTTAGATTAATCCCATTCTTCTCCATTACTTCAATCTCTAGCCATAGGAATTCCAATCCATGGATATACAAAGAAAAAGGTATATAAACATAAACAATAAAAAATCAGCAAAAAAGAAGAAAAAAGACCTTGCAACTTTGCAGTTGTAAAACAGAAAACCAAGAAAAAGATAACCCAAGAAAATGCTTACTTTTTAAACATATTGGTGAGAACCGTGAAGATCTTTGAAGGATCAGAGTTGGGATCACGAAGATTAAAGAAACCTCTGCCGCTGGGTGAAGCACTTCAGTTGTTCGGAATCTGAAAAACCGACGCCCACGCGTTGGTACTGGAAGACGACCCAAAACAAGAGAAGATGATAATGGGAACTTGAGTTTTACTGGGCTTCGTTTAGTTGGATATTTGAGAAACTGCTCTGGATCAGCTCTAATTCTATTCTTGGATTAGTTGTTAACTACTAACTGTCAATCCACATAATAGCCTACATGTATTATTTGATCACGCAGCACTAATTTACTTTGTATGACACGTTATTAAACAAATATTATAAAAATTAAAAATTATTAAAAAATAAAAGCATTTCCTTTGCTTTTTGCATAGTTTTAAAATGCTCATTTCTAAGTTTTGGTATCTGTATTATTCTTCGAATATTGATATTGATATCATATGAATGTATAATAAAAATCTAAATAATTGTATTAGGAGTATTGATACTCATGCTTGAGATGTCAATATCATTCCTTCAATACTGATACTAAACTTTGAGTATCGATATTGTCTTAAAAAATTAAATCACAATATGTTAATTTAATATCGATACTGCTTAGAATATCAATATTCTCTACTTGAAAAGTTAAAATTTAACTTATATGTCTACTAGCGTTGAGATCCTTAGAATACATGATATCCTTCGAAATTTCTTAAAGCCCTCAGGATATTGTATCCCCATGCTATAAATAATTTCTTGATATGTTCATGTGATATGTGATCTATTATCTGATAGACATATCAATTTAGCTTGTTAACCTTACGAGTAATCATCATAGTTATACTTCTTACAATAATATTAAAAGTCACTATAAAACTCCTTAGTCAAAATTAAAATGATGTTTATGAAGCTTATTTTTCTACTTATATCAGGCGACATGGACCGTTTGCAACTCCACCATCAATCATTTATTATGATTATTCATCTAAATCAAAAATCATAAATCGTTTATGGCGTTCACAATATTATTTTAACCATCAATAACTGATATGATAATCAAGAAAAATTTTCTAACAAAAATAGTAAATCAAAATAAAAATTCCTATTTTTTATTTTCTAAACTAAGTTAAGTATGTCTTATCTATTGACATAAGAGTCTCCTTTTAAATGGAGAAGACACCACTACTTTTATTATATGATAATTTAGAATAGAGTAAATGATATTAAGATTATCGTTTAAACTAAATAAATGGACCCTGTCGTAACCGGTTTTCGTCCTGGCACGAAATATTTATTTGGCGGGAAAAATAATATGGATAAAAAATGATTTTTTTTAAAAATGTTTTGGGAGTCGGCATCGGCCTTTTGGGTTAGATATGTCGAATACCTAAAAATTATCTTTTAAAAGAGTTTTTAAGAAAACATCAGTTAAAAGATAAATTGATCTGCGTTTAACCAAAAATTCATTCTTTTTAGAAATAAAAAGGGATTCGTGGTCGGTTACGTTTAGGGAAGGATTAGCACCCCTACAACACCCAAAATTAGTACTTATTAATTATAAATTGTCTCTATTATTAGAAATTAAAAATTCAAAGATATATTTAATTTATAATCCTGTTATTTCAAATTTATTAATATAATTGAAAGAAAATATATATATATATAAGAGATATTTACTTATTTAGAAATATCATAAAAGGGCTTCTATGTGCTTTAAGACAGCTCTTTTCTTTGATATTAAAAAAAATATTAATAAAATATTTTTTATAAAAATAATTAAAATATATAGATTAATATATATAATTTATATTTATTTTAGAAATATCAGAGAATGGACATCCAGTTGCTTTAAGACTGCCCTTTCTTAATATTGAAAAATAAATATATATTAAAATATGATTAAAAGTTATTTATAAAATTAATTAAATATGATTAAAATAAAATAATAATTAAAGCAATAATTAAAATATAAAAGTAATAAAATAACATTGCAAATAAATAATGATTAAAATAAAAGGTATTAAAAATATAGTGTTAAAATGTAAAATATTAAAAATTCATAGTCAAAAATGAAAATTAATGATTAAAATGTAAAATTATAAAACTAGAGTCCTAATTCGAAATATTATAAAACGTGAGTGCTAACAGTGTGATTTAACCTGTGATTTAACCTATATTAATTATTAGGTATTGAAATATTAAAATCTGAGGGACTAATTATAATATTTACCCTAAATTATTAATCAGGATTAAAATGTAAAATATTAAAACTTAAAACTATAATTCTAAGTAATAATGTAATATGGACATTAATAATAATTCTAAATATATATGTAAACATATCTAATCAGTGACGAAAATATAAATAAAATAAAATTAAAATACCAAATTAAAAGACATATAAATTGGTTTTAGTGGCTAAAATGGAAGTTTATAAACTTCTGGTGACTATGCGTATGGTTTAATCATACATGAATTTACACAAATACCCCTCCACCAAAACGACGTCGTTTGGTGGAGGGTATTTGAACCCAAACGATCGGCCCTTCGAGCCAGTCTCTCATTTTTTTCTCTCTCTAACTAAGAGAGTTTAGAAACTCTCTCGCTTCTCTCTTGTTTTCCCTCACCGGAGGGAATTCCGACAGCTGTCTGCCTCCGCGCTCTGGTGCCAGTCACCGCCGCCGGCCACCACCCATGGTGGTCGGAAAATTAAAAATATACTCAAAATGAAGCTCTGAACCTCCCCTGGCCGAATCTGACCTCTTTTTCCCTTAAACAGCCCCGAAATTACCTAGATCTACAAAATACCCACGGTATTTCGGCTTCTTTGGCGGTGTGTGTGGAGATTCTGACGACGGCGTAGCTTCATCGGTGGTAAGTTTTCTCGTCTTCTTCTCTTTTCTTTAGATATGTAGTTGTCTGGGATCGTTGGTGTAGTTCTTGCTCTCGTGGTTGTCTCCTCTTTTTCTTTGCAGGTTTGATGATGGCTTTATAGCCACCACTGGTGTCCTCTTCGATCTGGGTAAAGAGAAGAAGTTCGGTGAGTCACCAAACCGTAGGTGGTGACTCACCCCATAGTTGAAATGTTGACGGCGTTCCTTGCTTCCTCTGGATGTTTCTGTTGAAGCGTGGCAACGATAGAGCGACGTGGAGAGGCGGCTGGCGTTGGCGAGATGGTGGAAGCCAAAGAGTCGACGACGTGTCCCTAGGGTGATGATAACCCTAGGGTTTCTTAGGGCACATCTGGAGACCCTTGGATCTGTCTTGATTTGACGGCAGAAAGCAGCTGGCGGCTGGCTGAGATGATACAAACCCTAAATTGGGTTTAGGGTTTAGTTAGGCCAGTTATTTGGGCCATCTGAGTTTTGTAAAATTGGTCATATTTTGGGCTTTGTAATATTTATTTAATAATAATAATAATAATAATTATAATAATAATAATAAAAATAAAAATAAAAACAAACTGAAAAATTAGTGTCTACGGCTGCCCCTCTTTGCTTATTCTTGTGTTAACAAGAATAGAGCAAAGGCGAAAAAGACAATAATTTTTCATTTGGTAGGATGGAAATGTTTGAAAACATCATGCACTGATGGTCTTACAGATGACCGAAGGTTTTTGAAAACATCATGCACTGAATGACTTACAGATGACCCGAAGGTTTTTGAAAACATCATGCACTGAAGGACTTACAGATGACCCGAAGGTTTTGAAAACATCAAGCACTGAAGGACTTACAGATGAACCTAAGGTTTTGAAAACATCAAAAAGCTCCCGAAGGCTTTTTGGAAACATCATGCACTGTAGGACTTACAGATGACCCTAAGGCTTTGAAAACATCAAAAAGCTCCCAAAGGCTTTTTGAAAACATCATGCACTGCAGGACTTACAGATGACCCTAAGGCTTTGAAAACATCAAAAAGCTCCCGAAGGATTTTTGGAAACATCATGCACTATAGGACTTACAGATGACCCTAAGGCTTTGAAAACATCAAAAAGCTCCCGAAGGCTTTTTGGAAACATCATGCACTGTAGGACTTACAGATGACCCTAAGGCTTTGAAAACATCAAAAAGCTCCCGAAGGCTTTTTGAAAACATCATGCACTACAGGACTTACAGATGACCCTAAGGCTTTGAAAACATCAAAAAGCTCCCGAAGGCTTTTTGGAAACATCATGCACTGTAGGACTTACAGATGACCCTAAGGCTTTGAAAACATCAAAAAGCTCCCGAAGGCTTTTTGGAAACATCATGCACTGCAGGACTTACATATGACCCTAAGGCTTTGAAAACATCAAAAAGCTCCCGAAGGCTTTTTGGAAACATCATGCACTACAGGACTTACAGATGTGGTAAATAGTTTACTAAGTAAAAAAACTAAGGAAATCGTTTTCTTACTTTTCAACAATTTCATTTTTAGAAAAGATTGAATGAGAAACTATGGAAATCGTTTTCTCATTATTTTTCGAAATAACATGTTGATTGGGTAACATGCCCCAATCTCAAGATAATGCTCATTTTTGTGGATTACGTCCATCTATTCTTCAGATGTTTGCGTGATTCTTGTATTTGCGGTTTTGAATACCTTCTTCTTGTAAGGTATTTTTTACCATGAATCTTCTTGTTCTTCCGAAGATCTGTAAAACTTCATGTTTGAATGCACTTAGATGTATCAATGTAATGCATTGTCTATTGTATAAATGATATTCTTATGAATGCATGAATGTTGATGCAATCTTTATTTGACTTCAAAGTGGTGAACTTGGTTTTCCTTCACTTCATCATTTATTGCCAGGGTTACCTCTGGATATCAGTGTAGAAACTTATGCTATCAAGCTTGCATTTCTGCAGAATCATTTGATCAACTTGTATCTTTGCGTCTTCTTTGCTTCATGAAAGTCTCAGAAGAAATGTTTCATTTGTGGAACTCTTGCCGTAGTCAGAACTATGAACTTGATGCCCCATTTTGTCTTGGATAAAACCAACTTTCTTTGCTTGGACTTGTGTAGAAATCCCATAAAGCTTTCATCTTTGAAAAGAGAATCTATCATCTTTAAAAAGAGAATATCATCTTTGAAAAGAGAATCTATCATCTTTGAAGAGTGTAGATGTAGATATGCATGACTCAGCAGGGATTAATTAGA